TGTTCTGGGCGTGGATGCGTGCCAGAGACGTGGATCTCAGGGTCAACGATGGAGGGGGATGGGCCAGGATGGACCTCAAATAGATATTAACCTGGGGTTATAACGTTCTGGGATTATTGACCAGAGTTCATAATGTCTCGCCCGGAACAGTATGCACCTGGGTTTCAATGTTCTGGGAATATTACGGTCGACGAGGATTTCGCACCTACCCTCGAATGGGCGTAGGGGAGGGGCGCATAGATTCCCAATCGCCCAGTCGTCGTCGAGAAGAGCCCGAGAGCCCCAAGCTGCTCAGGAACGTTCGGATTAGCAGTCGGGGGCCTATCTCCGATCTATCGGCGATGCATCGCCGATCCCAGGTCGATGTTTCCACCCTATGCCTATCCCCCCCTTATCGTTGCCCCTCAGGTCAGAGGCAGACAAGGTACCGATGCGTGCATGGGGCGTGGGTCCCGACCCACCCGGCATGTTCTCATCTGGATTCGAGGCTCGGAGTCGTAATCAGAGCAGGAAAAGGTACCCACACACATTAACTTGCGCTCGTTGTCCCTGGTTTGGGCCTCCTGGGAGGCCCTCGTCGCCACTGCTGGATTCGCCTTGAAAGTCTGGTCAGAACGCACCCCGGGAGAGGTCAAGGGAGTAGCGGTTTCGCTACCTTTTGATTTCCCCACATGTGAGTTTAGATCCAGGAGCAGCGCGTGATTGCAGTGCAGAGGGTGGCTTTCGCATTGTGATGTATCACTCGCGGCAGGAGCAGATACCGATGTGTGCATGAGGTGTGGATCCCGACGCACCCGCCAGATTTTCATGTGGACGCGAGGCTCGAAAACATGGGAGCTCAGACTGGGGAACAACACGTGAATGCAGTGCAAAGGGTGGTTATCGCATTGTGATGTTTCTCTCGCGGCAGGAAAAGGTACCGATGCGTGCACGAGGCGTGGATTCCGACGCACCTGACATATTTTCATCTGGACGCGAGGCTCGGATTCATGGGAGTTTAGATTTGGGAACAACGTGCGATTGCAGTGCAGAGTGTGAATATCGCATTGCGGTGTATCACTCGCGGCAGGAAAAGGTACCGATGCGTGCATCAGGTGTGGATTCCGACGCACCTGATAAGTTTGCATATGGACGCGAGATTCGGGTTCGTGGAAGCTCAGACTGAGGAACAGTGAGTGGTTGCAGTGGTTAGCGATGCGGGCTACGTGGGCTCAGCTCATCTTTCGGAAATAAATACTTATTCTCCCTAAACATTTCGGCCATGTGTAATATATGTAGAAGCTAGGTTGGGCCAGACATAGCCCAACTTGGCAGCTACTTGTACCCCCCCTATCCCCTGAGCACTCCCCGGGCGTCGACCCCACCAGGGCCACTGTTGCACCCCAGGCCACTTCGTGACAGTCCCTTGGCCCAGCGAGGACATATTGGGGCCGAAGACGGCGAAAAGCCTCCCGTCGTGATTCTTACGTCGGGCATGTCCCTCGACAGGAAGAATATTCAAGAATAGTACAACAAATAGTCTGGTGACGACTTTTCGTGCTCAGTTGACAATGTTTGATAACTACTTGACTATTTTTCATTTTTCTTCCAAAATCCGCCTGGAGGAATATATGCCCGACCTAACATGATTCTTTCTGGTGCGAGCATGTCTGGGAGCGTCGACGATGCACAGCTGATGGAGATGTATCGGCGTTGCGGCGAATTCCTCCGACCCTATCTACTCGGACCCCATCTAGGAGGCTCCTGCAAATTGAGAAACATGGCGTCTAGGGCCTAGGTTCTTGTCTACGACTTCAAATCATGGGACTCTTATGTACCCTCGTGATTCCATCTTTAGAGTGCACTGGCGTCAATTTGCCCTTGAGAGTCCACTAGCGTCGACTTGCGCCTGGTAGTCTATGATTTAGCGCCAATGTTGCGTCGATGGGCGTCGATGAGCGTCGATTCACAAGAGCCAGCCAGATAGTATGGGAGGCTCCCATGAGTTGCCACCGGAGTGGTCGTGATCTGCGTTGCGATACTTGGTTTTTGTTCGCAACGTCGGCTCTCAGGGTCTCTGACAGCCCGCAGCTGGAGAGCAACCTTCCTCCCCTTCCGCCTCCCATACAGTCAACCCGCATAGGAAGAATGGGCAACCGTCCCAAGGGTACCCTTGCATCCTTGCCTCCTCGGTCCATCCTTGGCCACTTTCGTTGACCGCGTCCCGCTCGAAAAGCCTCGAAATGGGCGTCCAAGGCCCTTGCATCTTTCTGGCGGCAAGCGAGGGGGGGGAAGTTAGAAGGAGAAGGCCTTCTCAGAAGGCTCGGAAGTCCCCCGGCCTCCTGAGAAGTTCCCTAAGCCTTCACCGAAGACACAGAACGCTTCTCAGAAGGCGCGAGGGCTTCTGAGAAGTCCCGCCGCCTTCTGAGAAGGCCTTCTCCTTCTCCCTTCCCCCCTCGCTCGCCGCCGATCCTCAACGCGCATCCTCGTGACACGGGCCGACCACACCGCCCCGCGCCGCAGCCGCCTCCCTCGGCAGGTCAGGGCCGCGGCCGAAGCGCCGCCCCCCACCCCCGTCCAGAGGAGGGCGCGACGAGGCAGCGGCATCGCCCGCCCCCAGGGAGGGCCCCTCGTGACGCCACGGCCGGGCGCGGCTCGGTACACTGGCGCGCCGGGCAGCCCCGAGGGTTCGGGCCGAACGAGAGGGGGGGGGGATCGGGAGAAAGGGGCTACGAAGTCTGCTGCATGCAGCCGGTGTCGGCCCCGCCGCTGGGCCCAGTCCTCGACACATGGGCGCCTCCCGGCGCCGGGAGGCGCTGGGAAAAGCAGCCGCGTGGGCTGATTCTCGACCCTGCCCTTGGCTATTTCCCCCGTTCGTTCCCCCTGGAGGGTGGCCCCTGGGACCGATCCTGGGCTGCGTGTTGTCCGCAGAAGGCATCTATACACCACCACCGTGCCCGGCCAGGGCCATCCTGGGCCCCACCGTGGTGCCATGCGCCCTCCCGGCATCGGCCAGGCTGGCGTGCACGCCCTGCCAGGGCCCAGGCGGGCCCTGGCCGTGCAGCCACGGCGGCGGCGTGTGGATGCCTTCTGCGCATGTGGTCTCGACTCGCCCTGCTCCGGCTCCGCGCCGCAAGAGCCGGCGCTCCTGCCCCACTGGCAGATGCCGGCCCTCCCCCCGGGGGGCGGGGCCGCCGCCGCAGCTGCTGCTGCCGCCGGCGGCGGCGGCTGCGGCGGCAGCGGCGGCGACGGTTGCGTCGACGGCTGCGGCGACGACCACTGCGGCGATCACGGCGGCGGCGGCGACGGCGGCGGCGGCGGCGGCGGCGGCGGCGACGGCGATGGCGGCGGCGATCATGGCGGCGGCGATCACGGCGGCGGCGTCAGCGGCGAGAGCCTTTGTGGGCCTTCGGGGCCTCTCTGGGCCGTCTTGGTGCCCTCTTGGAGCGCTGTGGGGCCGTCTTAGGGAGGCTCTTGAGCGATCTTGGGGGCTTCTTGGGCCAACTTGGGGCCAACTTTGGGGTCCTCATAGGCTGTCGTGGAGCCATCTTGGAGGACTCTTGGACCATCTCGGGCGGTCAGAAACTCAAAAGGTTAAGGCAAATCAATATGTTAGGCCTCCTCGGGCTTTCTTAGAGGGTCTCTTGGGAGCCTTTTCGAGCCGTCTTGACGCCGTCCACGAGTTTCTTGTGCCGCCTTGGGCCATCTTGGGCCGTGTCGGCGTCATCTTGGTTGTCTTGCAAGCCGTCTTGAGAGCCACCTTTGCAGTCTGCAAGCAGAACAGAGCGCGGGATTGCAAATTCAGGGGGGGGGTCTTCGAGAGGTGCGTGCGGGTAATCCAGCGGGAAGGACCGGCCCTAGAAAACACAACAACACTTTCCAGACAGCAGACAAGCACGCTAACACGCCCCTTCCGTGCAGGCACGTTGGCGGACTGTGATGCACCGCATTGGTTTTGCATTCTGCTGCATGGCTTGGCATTGCAATGCATCGTCATGATTTGCCTTGCGGAGCTTGCAGAGCATTCCTTCGAATTGCATCGCAGTGCATTGCATTCGCCGTAATGGTTTGAATCGATTGCAGCCGGGTTGCAGTACCGTGCATTTCTTGGTGTTGCCTTGCAATGCTGCGCATTGCCTTAGGTTGCATTGGATTCCCATTGCCCTGGAGTATTGTTGCGTTACTCTTACTTGCACCGCGTTGCTTTGTATTGAAGCGCCGCGCAAGCATTGGCAACGTAATTGCAAATCAATTCGAAATGAGCACCAGTCCATTGCATCAGTCCATGGCACGTCAATATAAAACAAACCAACTTGTATGATTACCATCGAATGCAATTGCGTTGCTTTCTTGTGTGATTTGCCGCACAGTGTACCATTACGAAACAGCACGCTTCCGTTCGCCACTGTACCGTTCCAAATTGGGACTGGCCCTGGTATTCTAGGCTGGATTCTTCGAGTCTTGAGCCTGGGTAGACCTATCGAAGCTCAATCGAGGGCTTGTGTCGTGTATGACGTGGATCTGCGCACTCAGCCCCAGACGAGTCACTGGCGCTTCGCATGCCCCTCGGCTGCCCCATCCCCAGACGATGCCCGTACTGTTCTCCTTGATCAGGGAATTGCAGCAGTCGTCAAACGGGCTCTCGGGATCCGCCCGAGCAGACCCAGGAGTCAGTCATCGGTCCCTCCGCGGATCTCTCGACATTTCAGAACGTCTTGGCAAGAGTCATCAGCGTGCTCCAGCTTCCTTGCTCAATCCATCCTATGCTCATTCCTCTCTCTCTCTCTCCTTTCCTCCTCCTCCTCCTCCTCCTCCTCCTCCTCCTCCTTTAATTCTTCCCTCTTCCTCTCCCTCCCCTCGTCATTTTGGCTCGAGGCCGTCCCATGCGTGGCTGAAGACCGTCCCCAGCTCCTCCGGGATCTCGGCCTTGGCCCAAGTGGCATATGCGGCTGGTTGGCAAAAGACCTGCCATCCCAGCTTTCCGCCGCGATGCATATTCCATCCAGATGCCCATTTTTCCTTGCTCGGTCTCTCGCGAGGCTCGCGTCATTAATTCAGTGGCAGGCCAGCCGCCCAGAGAGACATGTTGTGTGTGTGGCACTTCTAACTGAGACCTCGTGTGCAGCGTTCATTGTGCTGTTGGTTAGGCGGTGCGAGCGCGGCTGTGTGGCGGCACCCTTGTTTTGCATGGAAAATGGCCAAGCCGGTCAAGTTATTCGCATTGTGACATCAACCCTGGCGAGTCGGGATCATGTGGTCGCGCGTTCCTCCTCCTCCTCCTCCTCCTCCTCCTCCTCCTCCTCCTCCTCCTCCTCCTCCTCCTCCTCCTCCTCCTCCTCCTCCTCCTCCTCCTCCTCCCCCTCCTCTGAAAGGCATCGAAGAGACGCAGCCGCCACAAGGCGTATCGAAGGTCGACCCAGGGAGGGCCAGAAGTTCAGCCGCTGCCAGCAAGGCCGGAGAGGGCCTTGCGAAGCAGAGCCAGGTTCAGCGGCAGTGCTGGGGGCAGGAGAAGAGGGGGTGTGGCACAACGGGGTGTGGTGTGCCAGTCGTGGAACTGGCGACGTTATCGGCATGTGGTGCCACTGCATCTGGCGATGTTACCATCGTCGATCACATCGCCATTTCTACGATTGGCACCACACCCCTTTGGGCCACGCCCCTCTCTGACCTCCACGGCATCGGCCCTCAAGAGGCGCCCGAGGCTGCCCGTGGGGCCTGATCTCCCAGGGGCTTCGAGCCTGACCGCGTGAGGATCGGCAGCGAGCCCAGGGGTGGAGCGAGAGGGGACATACTGCGCTGCATCTTCGGGGGGGCCCCGCCCGTCCCCAGAATTGATGTCGTTTCTGGTGCCCGACGAGGGCTCCATGCGGACTCGACGCGGCTGACGAGATCATTCGACGCGGACTCGACAAGGATGTGGCACGGATCCGACGAGTCCGACATGGACTCGCCATGTTTGTCTACCAGCGCGAAGAAGCCCCCGTGGCACGACGAGAGGGGAGACGAGGGAGGCGAGGGAGGGAGGCGGGGTGAAACGTGACGAAGCAGCTCAGCCCAGAGTTGCCGGCAGATGGAGGAAGGACCAGGGAGGAGGAGGAGGAGGAGGAGGAGGAGGGGGGAAAAGGAGGAGGAGGAGGAGGAGGGGGAGGAGGAGGAGGAGGAGGAGGAGGAGGAGGGTGGAGGAGGAGGAGGAGGAGGTGGGAGGAGGAGGAGGAGGAGGAGGAGGAGGAGGAGGAGGAGGAGGAGGAGGAGGAGCAGGCAGAGGAGGAGGAGGAGGAGGAGAGCAGGAGGAGGAGCGAGGAGGAGGGAGGAGGGAGGAGGGAGGAGGAGGAGGAGGAGGAGGAGGAGGAGGAGGAGGAGGAGGAAGAGGAGGAGCAGGAGGAGGGGGGAGGAGGAGGAGGAGGAGGAGGAGGAGGAGGAGGAGGAGGAGGAGGAGGAGGAGGAGGAGGAGGAGAAAGAGGAGGAGGAGGAGGAGGAGGAGGAGGAGGAGGAGGAGGAGGAGGAGCAGGAGCAGGAGCAGGAGGAGAAGGCCCGGCCAGCGTGGCGAGCCGCGGGCGCAGCACTGCACGCCAGGCCGCCTCGGCCCCCCGGCCCTCCCCGCAGGCACGAGCGCAGGAACGCGGCGGCGCGGGGCGCGAGCGCAGCGGCCCAGCGAGGCCACGGGCGGCCTCGGCGGCGCCTCGCTGCGGCAAACCCTCCCCTGCGGCCCACGGCCGACGGGGGCGCTGCGGGGGAGGCGGGCGCCCAGCTGGCGCGCCGGCCGCCGCCGCCCCTTGCGCCAGCCGCGCCCTCGGCCGACTGGGCTGGGCGGCGAGTGACCCCCGCGCGGCGGCCCGCCTGCCCAGCGCCTGCGAGCCCAGGGGCCCCCCGGCCCCGCGCTCTCACGGTTCGCCCGCAGCGCGGCCAGCTCCACAGCCGCCAGCAGCCGTTGGAGGACCTTCAGTTCAGTGCGTGCAGCTGCACCTGCCGCCGCGTGCAGAGTGCCCGAACGGGATGCTGAGCGCGCGCCGTGGCCCCCGCCAGCTCGTCGGCGTCCGAGTTGCCGGCGCGGTCCTCGGGCGTGACGCCCCTGGCCGCCGCGGCATCTGCATCGAGGTGCCCCTTCACCCAGCACGCCGAGATGAAGCCGCTCTGGCAATGCGGCTCCAGGAGTTCCCACAGATCCGCGTGCGTCCACTCGCGGGGACGCGCGCCGCCGCGCAGCGCGGCGATCCCGTGATACTCGTACTTGGAGTTGGAGATCAATTCCAAGTGTCCTCCAGCCTCGCTGACCGCGCGCACGGCACGGCCGCGGTGAGCTCGGCGCGCTGCGCGGTTTGGGCGTTTGGGCCCGTCAATTGGCCCACTGCAGCGCCGCAGCTCGCCGTCGGGCCCCTGCAAGGGTACCCCCCGCCTGGCCCAGGGGGCCCAGGCCAGCAGCGGGTCTGTCTATAGGGTGCTCGCAGGCGCCGTCGCTCCACGCCGGTACCTGGGCCGACCCCCTGGGCCGACCCCCTGGGGCGGCAGCGGGGGCGGCGGCCGTTGCTGCTGGGCTGCGAGCGCGGCCAGGCGCGCGTCCATGGAGAGCGCGACCCCGGCGGGCAGGCACGCCAGCAGGGCGCCCTCGCTCAAGCCGCCAGCCCGCAGCTCGGCGAGGCCGACCGCTCTGGGATACCTCCAAAAGGGAGCTCGCGCGTCTCCTCCGAAGCGCCGCAGTGCGGGCAGCGCGAGGGCCGGCCCCACTTGGCGGCCCCCGTTTCGGTGACGACGTTGCCCGTGAGCACCGCGCGCAGGGCGCCGGCCGCGACCGGCGCGAGCTCCTCGCACGCCAGCAGACGCCGAGTGGCCCAGCGGTCGACCCCGCCCGCGACATGCCCGAGATCAGCGCGCCTCCCCGCCACCGCGCGGGACTCGCGCCGCGCCCAGGCGTCCAGCAGCGCCGCGCGGGTGTCCTGGAGCGGGCTGTCGCGAGGCCCCCAGCCGTCCCGGGCCCAAGGCGCGCCCTGCCAGCACTCGATGTCACCACCGATGCTCCGCCGGGCGGCCGCGAAAGGCCCCTGGCCCTGCTGGCGGCCGTGGCCGGCGTCCACCACGCCTGCCACCTCGCGCCGGAGCCCGATCGGCAAACGCCGGCGGCGCAGCGCCTTCGCCGCCTGCCGCAGCGGGGCGACGACCGCGGCAGGGTCCAGG